CTTTCTCTTTCTTTCTTTCTTTCTTTCTTTTGGAGTCATATTCTGATGGTCTTCGTAAAGGTATAAAAATAAAACCTACCTTAAAGTGGACTGATGTTGATAATTGAACTCACATTTGTTCTACAACAGATGGTGACATTTTCCAGCTCTGTCCTTTTATCTTGGAGAAAGGAAGGCATTAACACATGGGGACTCATGAGTCTGCACGCCTTATTCTCTGAATTGGGCCAAGTGTGAAAGACAGACACCTTCATTTAACTTCACTGCAAGTTTCTAAGTGTTTCTTTGAGTGGCCTGAGCACCAAGAGATGCTGTGTGATTTTTTTCACCAGTAGTGTGATCTGAGTTTCCTTGAAAAACAAAAGGTGATGTTTAGATTGGGCAGGGCTTGTAGATGGGGTAATTTATCTAAAATTTTCCTGATATTTCATAGATAATTTTTATTTTACTTCTGCTAAGGTGCAGGTTTCCTCTAAGAAGCATTCCTTTGCCCCCTATAAACTGGAGAAAGTTCCCAAGATTTGGACCTTAGGGTCCAGGCCTAGATCTAGCACATCCAAGGCATATGGCTGTGAATCAACCAGGTGAGCTTACCACACCACAGCTCCCACTTGGAAAGGGGGGTGACAATGGCAGGAGCTTCTCTGGAAGGCTTGTGTAGGGCTATGGACGTGGAACAACTCTGTACACTACATTGTGGTGTTCAAATGCTTCAAACATTATTATTCCTTCCTTTACCTCTCCTCTAGGTCTGCACTGCTTAAGTGTAACTGAGCTGAGGGGAAAGAAATTGAAGAAAATGAAGGAACAGGAGCCCTGGGCAATTCAGGATCAGAATCTGGGCTGGGGACAGGAGTTAAGATGAGCAGTACGGAGGCTGAGGCTGGGGTTAAGGAGAAGAAACCAGCCTCCTTTCTGTGTCTCTTCCTTCCTCCCTCCCACCTCCTCCTTCCTCCCACTGAGCCTCATTTCAAGTAAGCTGTACTGTCTTGTCCTCCTGGCACCTTCCAGGTGAGAAGGCAGGAGAAGCTGGCTTGCAGGGATGAGCAAGGCAGTGGGTGGCCTGCAGGCTGGCTGACATTGGTGGATCCCCCAATGGAGAATCCATCCATAAAGTTGGAAATGACAAAAAAAAAAAAAGTTGGAAATGACTGCATATGCAGACAGGTGAAGATGTGCACTTCCTGGGTGAAATGCACCAGCATGCTCCCCCCTGGAGCTGTCACCCACCCTCATGCTTTCTAGTCATTTCCACAAAACCCCAAGGATAGCACTCAAGTGTGCACAATGCAGGTTACAAGATGTTTCATTTCTTTTTAATTACTCTGCTTTCAGTAGAGTCCTCTCTATTTCCTAGGCAAAGAATCTGAGGGCCAGTGGTTAAATGATTGTCCCACGGTCACACTGCATGAAGGAAACAGAACCCAAGCCGAACACCAGACCCAGTGCTTTACTGCAGGGCGCCAACCCCTCAGCCCTGATCTGAAACCCTCAGACTTGCAGAGGAGAAAAAGTACTGGTGTCACACTGTCAGGTCACTTAGCTGACACAGAGAATATATTTGCTTCTTTTAATGGTAGCTGCACATTGTCCCCTGGAGCCCAAGAGGCCAGATTCACAGAAGATGTTTCCTTGGGAGGAAAGCCAGCCTGGCTGGGCCCAACTTGTCTTCATTCTTGTGGTTTGGGCTACACACGGCAGACTTTAGCCAGGAGGAGAGAACCTTTCAATGCACATCCCCAAGAGCCCTTAAAAATAACATCTTGCCCTCAAGGTGTTTTCCCTGGTAATGGAGACAGCCAATGGCAATGTGTATAAATAGGGTTGATCTCAGGCACATCGTTAAAGGTGACTCCTAATTTCCTCATCTGAACAAAGGCAACAATACTGCAAACTTCCCAGGACCGCTGTGAGACAATGACTACACCCCGTGAAACCCCACATGAGAGAGTCTATGCCAACACCCATCCAGGTGCAGGCTCACAGCCAGACTTCATCAATCGTGCATCAGTCAGGAAGAAGAAAAAAAGGAATTATGAAGGGGTGAATGAATGAATGGATGAACATAATAGTTTATTTCCAGTATAAATGGAATGATGTGCTAGCTCACCTTCTATAGGATATTACAGTCTCATTGCACTTTTATATACTGTGGGACCAAAATGACTCCATTTTGGAGCCGTCTCCTTTGTTCTCTCAAATTTGTGCTTAAACTAGGAATTCACCACTTGAAATTCCTGAGTTTATTACCCAACCACCTGTGTACCCGGGGAGAGAGCATTCCAGGCACACTATCTGT